AGACTGATTCCGTGATATATGGATTTAACTTAGCAATGCACACTGACTTACTGAAGAGAGAGCTGTTCAAGAGCATACATAACCTGTCTGTTCTGAGGAACACTTTGAAATGCTTAGGTTACAAGTGGGGTGCAAGTAGCCGAGACAAAACTCCCTCACCGAGAAAAGACCCATGTTAAGTGTATTACTTCACTGTTTCTCGGTCATTGTCGGGAGCAGTGGAAAATCACTGAAGAATGTGGCTGTTAGGAACGAAACTAAATTAACATCTTAAAATTACATCGTAACTGTGATGCTGGGGTAAGAATTTGTTGACCACTGCTATCCATGCTTGGTGACTTCAAGAACGACCTTGTGAATGTAGGATACAGACTTGGTGCTCTTACGTGTGGCAGTAGCGTGAAGCGCGCCAAGCTCCTGCCCCTGTGCATAATGTAAACTGGTAACAGTGTGTGTCAGAGATGCTGGTTGGTATCAGTTTAGGTTCCTTTACACCCAAGATGTTTTCGACTATGAAGTTATAGAATTTCCTTTGTAGTACTACTGTAAAAGAATATTTACCTCTGAGGTATGGAGGGTTGCAGTTTCTCCACACATCAAAAAGCAAGGCATATCTTTCGTCTTACCTGTTTATGATTTTTATTATTTGTGTTTTATTAGGTGCTCAGAGTGGCTGGCCAGGACATTATAGAAACACTGGCACTTCTCTCTCACCAGTCTCAAACCAGTAGGTCATTCTCCCACCTGCTGCGCAATATACTTCCTTGGTTTTTGTTGAAAAAAAGGGTCGACAGCTGGTTCTCATCTAAACTTGACCTGACCTCCATCCCTATCTATATATGGTGCTCGTTCTGTCAGGAATTTGCTAGGTCAGTCTGTACTTAAATCAGATTTATTTGGTTGATTCCTGACGGCAGCAGCGCGAGCTCTACTGATCACCTCCCAAGGGACAACACCTCCGGATCTCGCATTCAAATCCTCCAGCACAAATCTCGGCGGATGAAAATGTTCTTCGACTTTAAGACATTAACTTGTCATAATACCGGTTGTAATCTCAATGCTTATAGCTTAGCGAGAAAAAAAATGCATATATGATAATTTATACTACGGCCACCTCGCCTAGTGGTCCCTCAATGGCTGCCTACTGGTGTGGGCCACCAAGCTGCTGGTGGTCACCAGCCACCCACTCCCACAGCTCCTTGTCCTCCCACTGGAACGTTCCCCATGATGAACACCATCTTGCTCACCCTGGAGGACACACCACCCAACCTGAGGTGATATACACAATGAACACCATCTTGCTCACCCTAGAGGACACACCACCCAACCTCAGGTAATATACACAATGAACACCATCTTGTTCAACCTAGAGGACACCCCAACCAATCTCAGGTAAAACATGCAGTCTCTACACTCGAGCATGCTTGTAGAAATGTTTATAAAACCTGCTATGTATCTACTTCAGATTATTCGCTTAGATGAGCCCAAGAAAGGTGAGAACCAGGTAGATGCCAGTGTGGTAGCGCTGGACTTGGTAGGGATGCTTCTGGGGCTGAACTTGCAACGACGACTCCCCAAGACAAATTCCATCCGTGTTCTGGTGGCGATGTGACTGGTGTTCGCTCACCATTTCTGCCTACTGTGGTAACCTGATTGCCTCCCTCACGCTAACCAAGCTCTCACACTGAGCTGAGACACAGGAACAACTCATCACTGCTGCAGACAGGTAGTGTTCACCTCCTTTTCTTACACAATACCTGAACACTGTATATATAACGATCTATCAAGATTTAGTTACATATTTCGTATCATTCACTTTCACCACACAGGATACCGATGCCATCCTACGGAGCAGAATTCAAGACATTTTCATTCACCATCACTGATTAGTAACACCATCCATCATCCGCAATTACTGCTCAGTAACGCCATCCATCATCCGCCATTACTGCTTAGTAGCACCGTCCACCTATCATCAGTGCTCAGTAGAACCATGCACCTACCATCAGTGCTCAGTAACACCATCCATCCACCAACACTGCTCAGTAACACCATCCACCATCACTGCTCAGTAACACCATCCATCCACATCACTGCTCAGTATTACCATCCATCCATCATCACTGCTCAGTAACACCATCCACCCACCAACACTGCTCAGTAACACCATGCATCATCCACCATCACTGCTCAGTAGCACCATCCATCCACCATCACTGCTCAGTAACACCATCAATCATCCCACCAACACTGCTCAGTAACACCATGCATCATCCACCATCACCGCTCAGTAACACCATGCAACATCCACCATCACTGCTCAGTAACACCACCCATCTGTACCGAACACACAAACACATTACTAATGCAGTGTACACGTTAGCCACTCGCCAGCCGACCAAGATGACTCCTAACTGCGCAAGTCCTCCAATAACCAACCATCGGTCGCCTGTATCCCTGTGACCAATCACCTACGACCAAAAACATAAGTTCACCTGCTTCGTACTGTTGCATGTTAGTGAATGTGTTGGTCATTTATACAGACATCCCAGCGGGGAGACGCACTTCTTTCAACTCATCGTGAAGAAAGCAGAGATCTTCAAAGTCCTACTCCAACTTGGGCCTTCCTCGGCTCTGTTGCAAAAGGTATGGACATTACGTTAACTTGCCTTCTCCAGTAAAAAAATAATTACTTTCGTGTTAATGTTGACAGCAGGATCTCTGAGGCCTAATTTGTTACCCGACAGAGATCTAATTGGCTTGTAATGTTGACTTGTTGCGTGAGGGCCTTTATCTCATTTTATCTAATGCTTAATAAGTGTATTTTTTATTTAATATATTTAAGTTGTAATCAAATTTCAAGAGTGATATGATGCAAGATTGTAGAAGTATTTCATTTTGGATCTACTAATCTCCGTGCTAAAATTTGTTTCAAACCTTAAATTTTGTGAATTAATAATCTCAGATATACGATTTGTACCTGTATATTGTTTTTTTAATACAAGTTTTTGAGACATCCTACTTGTTTTACAGAGGGTGTAAGCTTTCCATGACGAACGGATGAGAATTTCTGCAAGTTTATTTATTTTATGTTTAGTAGCGTTTGTCGAGTTGGATTTTGTTAGGATATTCTCCCGGTAGATCCTGGTTCTATTACTTAGAGTACTGAAGCTTCATTCAGGACGCATAAAGAAACTGCTGTTGGTCAGTAAGTACATAGAGGGATGCCCATCGCCACCTAGTACTGCGAACTGAATACATCCAGTCAATTAAGTGACCTAAAGTATACTGAAAAACCAAGGAACAGAAGCAGCGTTCGATTTCACCTTCCTATTTCTACCAGAAGTATTGCATCAATAGGCACGAACAATTTAAACATGTATTAATGAAAACCTGTTGATTGTGAAAATAAAAGACTTGATGAAAAAATGATAACTGACTCAAGTGTAGGTAAAGCTAGTGGAATTTTAACGGCATGAACACCGGGTAGATTCCTTGGTCTCGGCATCAACGTTCTACCAGCGTAACACTGTTCACAAGAATACCCATCTTATATAATTTCAGCGAAGTAATCAAGGTAGGAATTATATAAAAAAATAATTTCAAATAAAAAAAATGTAAGGTGAAATTTAAACATGTTTTCAGTGCTGTACGTGCCAGGTTGTTCCTCTAATATTAATCTGATTTCTTCGGAAGGAAATACTACTGCTGTATTGGTGAATCATAATACTTTGTGTGAAGTAGCACATTTCATGATAAGATTCCTCAGCGGTTCATAAACTAGTTAAAGTTGAATGTATTATTTTTTAATGAAGATTTTCATTTAAATATTATAAATATTTGAAATTTCATAGTTATCTTGTATCCTAAAGTTCAATTGTGTATGATTTATTTGTTGTGTAATACGCTATTTAATTGTATATTATCTTATGAATGATAAGTTGAAACAATAAGCGTGTTTTGATTACGAGTGTACCAATATTTTTAAAAGATTTCTTTATTATGTTTTCAGGATACAATTTTCATATTGCTAACCTCAGTAATGTTTTATCTTACGTCAGATATTGATAAAGAGATCCCAGTTATGAAGTTCTCTCAGCACATGCAAGTGTAATGTCTGTAGTAATGTTTTTCCAAGTCAATGATCATGAAACAATTCCTAGAAATCAGAATGTGTTTTCAATTTACCCAAAAACTTCAATGACATTCGAAGATCTATACATAAGTTTTTTGGGGGTTTTAATAATATTTCACTGCCTAGAAAAGTAATACCAACTAACTAAGACAATTAAGACTAAATAGGAGAGAGAAAGTAAATTTGTAGTTAAGAGTACATTAGGTTACTCTGAAGGTCTGCAAGTCATAATGCTGTTCTTTACAGTACGGAGGAAGAGAAAATATGATGATGTGGTGGATGAAAAAGGTGGTAGTCTTGGTGATCATGATGGCAGATGTTGTAGCGTCTCAATCTCCACAGCACAGTAAGTCTCACCACAGTTGAACATCTTGCGTCAGTTTCACCTCTAGTCAACCACAAGAGGTAAAGCTACTGATGTGTCCTAAATTAACTCGGTCATTACCAATCAAAAATGATCACTCCTCCTAGTCCCCGTTACAATCTAATACACACACACACACACACACACACACATATATATATATATATATATATATATATATATATATATATATATATATATATATATATATATATATATATATATATATATATATATATATATATATATATATATATATATATATATATATATATATATATATATATAGCATTGTGTGTATATATATATATATATATATATATATGTATATATATATATATATATATATATATATATATATATATATATATATATATATATATATATATATATATATATATATATATATATATATATATATATATATATATATATATATATATATATATATATATTCTTTATTTACATGTTTATACATACTTATATTTATATTTATGTATTATTATTATGACATTAATTTACACATGTACTTAATTTCGCTTTCGCTATTATTCGCAAAATGGCAAAAGGTGAAGAAGGAGAAGCGTTGTACAGTTGGCCACAGGTATGGTGTTCCACCCCTCGGTGGCCTTCTGAACATATGGCAACCTTCGGAATCATAGTCAAACCTTCTTTACAGATTTTACATCTATTATACCGTTTAGCACAAATCTCGATTACAAACATTATCGAAAACAAAAATATTTTGGCCACCTGGTCGGAAAGGCCACTGAGGGGTGGAACACTATACCTGTAGCCAACTGTACTTACGAATTTTACCCTGGGAGACAAAGTCGGGTGTTGATATGAAATTATACAAAACAGGCTGGCAACAAGACGCCGGTGGTGGTGTGGGCGCCGTGCTGGAGGCCGTGTCTCAGCCCACCTGCTCCCTCATCCTCCTCACCACCTCACCCTCCACCATCTTCAAGGTGATGTTTGTTATTATGTAGCCTCCACCTGCTATATGTTCTTATGTAGCCTCCACCTACTGTATATTCTTATGTAGCCTCCACCTGCTGTATGTTCTTATGTATACTCCACCTGCTGAATGCTCTTATGTTGTCTCCACCTGCTGTATGCTCTTGTGTAGCCTCCACCTGTTGTATGTTCCTATGTAGCCTCCATCTGCTACATTTTCTTGTATAGCCTCCATTTACTGCAATGATTTGAGGAATGTTTATATATTTAGTAAGATATGCATTAATTAGACAGTAATTTGCTCGTATATTTTGCTTAGTGGATGTCACTTCATCTAGCCATACCACCGTCCACTAGGCAAAGGATACGAGCTATTAGCAGTCGAATTAATCCATTTCTTATTAAAAATAATAAAAATATACAGATTGAGATTTTTTTCATATTGATTTAATTTGATTCTGTAATATGTTTGTTATAGCGAGTTTCCTTCTGTCGAATGTAAACTAACACAGCCCTGCCACGGTGCACAAAATCTGACGAGCCCCTTTAAGTGCATTGGTGAATGAGCCTGTACAAGTTCAGAGATCTTTCCAACCTGTACCCGGAGAGGTTCTCTTGCCCAACACCGCTTGTAATTTTACTGTCTAATTTTCAGCTTCCACAACCAAAGCCTTTAAGCACATTTCACTGTCAGTAATAAAACTATTCCCACTGGTGGATTTTTACCGAGTTCTAGGCGAGTGTAAACTACCTCGCCAATTTCCTTATCGAAATAAGCCTTCCTGGGACTAGGACTACCATTCACACTGCATGGCAGAGCGGTTGGGATACCATTATTGGCCCCAAGGTTTTCCTGAAGGTTACGAAGGCGAACCGGAGAACCGGAGAAGGGAGACAGCCTGTCCTCTTGGCTTACTCATGTCTTAACCAAGGAGCACAGATTATTTTATAATGTCGCTTTAATTTTCTTCATTTTCAAATAATGTTTTTCAGGTGTAATATAACATAAACCTTTGTAATACAGCAGTCACTTTTATTAAAGCATTCGTCAAAGTTATGTCTAATATTGATTTACTGTATATACTGTACTTGTTGTAGGACAATTGCTGTAGGTTCCCTTCTAATATACGTATATACGAGGGAGTTTTGTCTGCCTACCGACACAGGCCTTGCTCTCAATTTTACAAAAGAGACAAAAATACCAAACCTATGCACAAAGTATCTTAAATTATCTCAAGGGTCACCTGTACATATGGTGACTGCTATCTGTTAATTTTATTTTATGGACTCGATTCCTTCCAAAACGATGAAAAGAAATCATAGGTAAACATGATATTCTTAATCTTCTTAGATTTGTGAGAATTCCCCTAATATACTTATGTCTTGCAGAATTGTTTTTCTAAATAATGGTAGAAGCGTTCATGTCTCAGGAGGAGAGTGTAGTACGAGGGAGCCCCTGGGGTGTGGGGGTGTTCGAGGTGGTGGTGGACGGCCAGGACGCTAACGAGACCCTGGTGCTGCTCTCCCACCTGCTCCACCAGGCTCGACAGGTAGGTCACTCTCCCACCAGGCTCGACAGGTAGGTCACTCTCCCACCTGTTCCAACAGGCTCGACAGGTAGGTCATTATCGCGCCAGCTCCACCAGGCTCGACAGGTAGGTCAGTCGTCCTACTGCTAAAGTTGGAAAGTCCCTGGTATTATTGTTAAGGCCTTAATATTACTTGACATTATGCTTGAGATGTACAGTTGTACGTTTTAATAGCAGGAGAAATTCTTGGTACTTAACATAAACCCGTGTAACCCAATCCCAATCTGGCAAGTAACCTACCAGGGCCGCTCCTCCATGTAAGGGGAGATGTTACATATATCACGATCGTTAAATTTTCTTATGCGAATTTGACATAATTCGAGTTAACTTTTCATCTATATACAACCTGGCGGATGTAAATTGTAAGATGGCATCAGCCAGGGTGTAACAGCGAATGAGTCGCATTACGAAGTGGCCGAGATTGTGTTAACTGTATACATTGAAAATTGTGGAATTTAGTTAGGGTTATTTTAGGTATTTTTGTGTCCGTCTTTTATGATCTCATTAGCAACACCCCACATATCTTATTGAAGATATTTATCTACATTCAAATCAAACTTTCAGTCGGTCAACACCCTAGTCTTTATCACTGACGTAAAATAGTTACTGACAAGTGATCGTGGGCCCTTCGTGCCCAGTTCGCCGTCCGGCTGACAGAGTACAGCGACATCGTTTTCCTTCGTAAAAAAAATGGTTAATTGATGCCTTCCTAAAGAATCCATCGACATGGGACCAGGTTTGTTCCACTCTACGAATTTTTTTGCGATTTTTCCACCAAGTTTGATGAAAAACGATTGTGCCGTTTCGGCTGCCCAGAACAGACACACACATAGACAGACAGACAGACACACGTCTAGTCCTATAGTATATTCGATGCACCGCACTAGTCATTACTGTTTATCATTCAGTAGAATACAATTTTAACTCGGTCCCAACAACTGTTTGATATATACCACAAGACATATATTTCGTGAACTACGTTGTTATTAGAGCGGTAAGTGAACTTTAAGGTATAATACGATTTTGTTTTCATAATTTCCTTTGTGTTTAAAGTATAGTTAAATGTCTGTTCCCGTTACTGAGCAGTAACCGTTATAATAGCGAGAATCTAGTCGTCCTTATCTGTGTACAGTACAGTATTGTATAATTTCGGAAATTGTTAAATAACCAAATTTATACAAGTTAGATTGAACAGAATTGATGTGTTGCAGCATTTTCTCGGTTAACTTTTACATAAACTTTTGATATCCTAATGGAGGTGACAAACATAAAGTTTATTGTTGCAGCTTAATATTTAGTCAACCCAATAGGGATGTACCTACAGGGCGGGCTAATGAAAAATATTCTCATTGTTAGTCAGATTACTACAATTGTAAACGCTTTAGTTAAGGACGTTCAGGTTACGGGCAAGTCGAAGGAAATGATTGAAACCCGTCATTTAACGCATTCAATATTTATTGATGTGGTCAAAACCTGCAGAGGAGAAGGCGTTCATAATATTACATGGTGATCCATCTGATACATAATTAGTTAGTCCAACACAACTTTATCTCAATTACAATTTATTAAACAAACTGACATAACACAAAGTTCATAACTCTATTAATCTTAGCTTCGCCTCATTCTGCATTGTCTTATTACTCCAGGTTAGGCAGAAACGAGTAGGCGTAATTAGTCAACAATATTTTAGTACCGAGGGGTATGTCATCACTCAGGCTGTACTTACAAGTGCGGGTCAATGCAGATCAGTATGGTGTTCCAAGAGACAACAGTATTGCGTAAATCGTCCCAGCACAAATTCTCGGACAGGAGAAGGCTGGTCTTCACAGCATCACTAGAGAGGGCGATCTGTCTCATGGAGGGGCTGGCAGCACCGCCACCAGTCGAAGACAGTCCACTCAGCAGTACCAGGACTTGTCTGTAAACACTTCTACATCTGGCGAGGTCACAGGTCGAAAGATTTAATGGCATCACATGCCAGCACTGTAGCTGAAGCCAGCGGCGATAACAACAATACTGACAAAAACATGTTGCACTGTAGTTGTCTTCATGCCCTCGCAGTGTAAAAATACCCCTTTAATTCAATAGTTATATGTCTTCCCACTGGAAAAACAAAGCAGTAGATAATTTATATTTCATCGTTACATTGGGGCGTATCTAACAGTTTGACAGCAGAACTGTTTATGGACTCGTGTTACACGACTGTTGCTGTTGTTTTTTGTTCTTTTAATATTATGTAATGAAGGTGTGTGGAGTACTGCCTTCTACAGCTACATTTTGAGGTAAATTCTTACCATCGAACTGATGAAATCAACATAAATTGGTTACGAAATAATTATTTGTTATTGTAATGAATAATAAACTCACTGAGGTAGTGAAAATTTACAGTAGGAGTGATTGCTAAGTGATGAAAATGGTAGCGTAGTTGTGTGTATCAATAATTATAAAATGTTTACGTTTTCGAAACGTAAGAATGAGTACAAGTTATTTATTAGTTAGGTGAATAAGCACTGTTAATTACTCATCACGGGAACATTCATAAGATAATAATAGGTTGCAACTAGTGACCAAATTAAACTACGGTTATGACAGACTAAACCACTAACATAGAGTAGGCTGCACTTCCCACCACTATTTCCCTGTGGGGCAGGATAACCACTGTACACTAATGGAACAGATTTTATTATACCTTGTGAGAAACCCAGCGAGATGAGGCATCGGGCCCCGCCGAACCACCTCACGGCTGCGACTAACTCTGACGGGTAGATAGTATGGACTCCTAACTAACAGACTCCAGACTCAAGCTCGGACTGAGTGCGACTGTTTGTTGGGGCCGTATTTATTTAGTTTTTCAATAGCAAGTTTATCCACAGTGGGTCCTACTTTCACGTGAAGAATGTGAAAGCAGGATTCAGATGTAGGCGTACCCGGCTTATATTATGGGATGGTATTGTCCTAGCGGTTTTGGTCGCCTGCTTGAGAACTAGGCCGCCTTCTCCTCAAGTACTGCACTATATTCCGTGTTTGTTCACTAGATGATAACTTTGGTCTAATTTCTTATATACTGCACTGCATTATCACTTGGCACAAACTGACAAACGACCCGGTAAACACCAAATGATTTGATACATTGTTATATCCCATATGATATCATGTTGATGAATCCTTGAGTTAGGGAATGCTCAACTGAAAATTAGTCAATTACAGTAGAACGATTGCTAGTCACAGGTGAGGATGGGGTCTCGGTGTGTGCGGGTGGTGGTGGTGAGTCACGACCCGGTCTTCCTTGACACCTTCGCCGAGTGGTCCCTCAAGGGCCGCCTCCTGGTGTGGGCCACCAAGCTGCTGGTGGTCACCAGCCTCCCACTCCCACAGCTCCACGCCCTCCTGTCCTCCCACTGGACCTTCTCCATGATGAACACCATCTTGCTTAACCTGGATGACACACCACCCAACCTCAGGTAATTTACACAATGAACACCATCTTGCTCATCCTGATGAGTAGTATATGGGCTTTTAGGATTACATTTTTAAGTATAGATAGAAACTGAATTCATAAAAATATATTTAATTTAGTACTAACAATTATTCTCCGATGAAAAATAACGAGTCCTTGAATGACATGTGGGGTAAAGCATCAAGTATCGTGCAGACACATAATGTGAATCATAACATCATTATGTAATCGACCAGGAAAATAATCGCCACGCGTTTACACGCCTTAACATATATCACTACATTAGGAAATCTACTGTACAGTCACCTATCACACAGGTACAGTGTGTACACTCACCTGCCTTACAGTCCAGATGGCGCCCAGGTGTTGCGGGTAGCTGTGTGGACACCAAGACACGGCCTCCGCCTCCTCACAGCCCTGCCACTCTTCCCTGAGAAGTTCTCCAAGTATGTGCGACAGTGATGTGTTATGTGTAGGATATGGTTGTTGCCGACTTTATTCGTGGGCTTCTTATTGTTCTCATCTTCATTTCTTCGCCTTTTCATTACAGTATTTCCATCCTATAATAAACAAGTTTCATTAGTTTTTCTTGCCTTCAACATAATTTATACCATTGATTTTGGAATTTTATATAGATTTATTTCCTATTATCTACAGTATTCACAATATATTGTCCTGTTCCTCAGTTTCCATGGTGCTGAGGTGAACGTGACGGGAAAGCCTTGGCCACCATACTGGGTGGAGGAGCAGCAGGAGGCGGCTGACGGGAGCCTCGTCACCATCTACACAGGCTGTGACTACCTCTCCCTCGAGACTATCTCCCACACCCTCAACTTCACTATTAATATCATTCCTACTGCTTCCTGGGGAGAGGTAAATAATAATAATATTCCGAACACAAGTTCAGTACTTGATGTCAGAGGACTGGCTTCTTTTGTATCATTTTTGCAAGGCAAGTCTATCGCTTCAATACTGGGAAGAGAACCAAGGTCGTCTGAAAATATTTTTCTTGCTTGACTATAAGTCATTTGTCAATAAGGTTCCCCTTCAGCGGTAATATAACTGATCCCCCCCCCCCTTGTTCATCACAAATAGAAAAGAATGTCATATTAGCTTTACAGATGTTGCCCAGCATAATGATTTGTAACGAGCATTACTCCTCAGGCAGTCAAGAAAGTGGAGGAGCGGGTGGCATTCATCACAGCGGTGTTCCATGTACCCCTGCCAGAGCGCAAGAAGAAACACGACTTTACCAGAATCTATGAGTATAACCAAATGTCTTTTACTTTGGCCAAGCCCGGCCTGAAACCCAGCCTTGATAGCCTCTTCTACCCACTAACCGGTGAGGTTTGGGCCTGGGTGCTGGTGGTCCTCCTTTTCATGCCCGCCATCTACTATATGGTAAGAATATTCACCAGTGTCTATACTGTGAATATTGTGTCAAACGGTTGTTTCATAAGTTTGTTTAGTAGTTGTTGCGTTGCTGGCATAGATAGTATAACCTGCCATTGAACGAGAGTACTTTTTGACGTCTGGCAGACTGTCATGGGTTGTTTAGCATGTTGAAGAATTATAGGTCACGCATTTTGGCCTCCGTCATTAAATGTAGTTCTTAACTCTAATCTTCTATAGTTGGACAAAGGGGAATTTTATTATAGAATACAAAACTGAGTTTTCTAAAGGATTTCTAAGCCATTTTGACTCTTGATTTTTTTTAATTCCCTAACTTATGTACAGTATTTCATTAATTCAAATTTATAATAATAATATAATATGGTGGAGGTTTGTGAATCACTTGAAGATTAGTTTTGTTCAAGTTCAATATCAATTCAATTCCATTGTTTCATTTGTTCAGCTCTTCGTATTTATTTCTCTCTTGGATGACAAATATATCATCGTAACAGCGGTATCTTAAGTAGATGACTTTGACAGTTAAAGTTTTTTCCCAATTTTTTGTAATTCCATTTCCATTGTAAAGTTTTTCGTGGAAGCTGTCGCGTAATTATTCGCTTTTTTGCATTTTTATTTCCTTAAAACTTTTGTATAACTGGACTGGAGAGTGTAGAAGTACTATTCTGTATTCTGCACATTATCGCATCTCAAAGCGTGCGACTGTATTTGCTTATTAAGATATTTTCATAATTGGTGAATCTTAACGTGGCAGTATCATATCAAAATTTTACAAAAACTTTATTTGATCCATTTTTACAGGTTCTAAGGTGACTACAAAATTCATACTTGACAATATGACCATTGTGACCTTGACGACTTCAGGATTATTTACTTATTCTACAGCTACATTTATTTTCCTATCTTTTTACACCGACTTTATGAAAATCATGTGGTGGGTTACGGAGATAGGCTAAAAATAGTACAGTATAAGCAAACTTTAACCTTCATTATCTCAACTCATGGTTTTCATGCATACATCGCTCTTCTGCCACTCGCCTATATAATATAATGTCGCAGGTCAGCAGAGGAAGAGAGAAGCAGTGTGGACGGCTACGGGTGGCAGCTGAGGTGTTGGAGGTGATGGGGATCCTGGTAGGCCAGAACCTGCCACAGCAGCTCCCACCTATCACCTCCGGCCGCCTCCTGGTGGTGGCGTGGCTGGTGTTCGCCCTCATCATCGGGACGGTTTACCGTGGCAACCTAACAGCCGCCCTCACGCTGCCCAAGTACCCGCCCCGGCCAGAGACTGTGGAACAGCTGGTGGACACCGTTCATAAGTAGGTTTTCGGCGTATGTAAAATACCCACTAAAATGATGCAAAGATTTAAGTCTGAAAACTAAATTATAACCACTAAAACAGTAAAGACAAAATCCAAGCAAGTCATTTTTAATCCTGATACCCTCTTTGTTTAGATATGTTGATGATGTATTATGTCTCTGGCCATGTAATGAGGACCTAAAAGCTTTCCTGCCACTACTTAACAACTTAGCCCCCTCGATCATATTCACTGTGGAATTAGAGCAAGACTGTAAATTGCCATTCCTAGACTGTCTGATACACAGAATAGGTAACACTTTTAAGTTCAGTATTTATAGAAAACCAACTAATGTGTGTTCATACATTCATTATTATTCTGCCCACCATAATAAAGTCAAACAGTCAGTATTTTCAACAATGTTTTTACGTGCCTTGAGAATTTGCAGTCCGGAATTCATCGATGAGGAATACAAATATATATATAACATTGGCTCAAACCTTAAATACCCTAGATCTTTCATAGACAAATGCCTAAACATTACTAAGAAAACTTTTTATAGAACTGATCCCAAGCCCACCCATGACCATAAGAATATCTTAATATTACCATTTCACAAAAATTTCTCACACATTCCTTCACAACTAAAAACCTGGAACGTCAATGTGGCATTTAAAAACTCGTGCACTGTTAAACAAATGTTAATCAAGAACTCCCCCAACAACACAATTGGTTGCATTTATAAAGTTCCTTGCAAGGAATGTAATATGTTTTACTTAGGCCAGACAGTAAAAGATCTTGCAACTAAAATTAAACAACACAAATACAGTGTTAGGACAGGCCAGGAATCCAATGCTCTGTTTGTTCATTTGAGGGATAACAAGCATTGCATTGACTGGGATAATGCCTCCTCATTATTACCATGTAATTCAATTGATAGTAGGAACATCATAGAATCTAGTCTTATTAAACATACTGAAGCATTCAACATGAATTTGAGTAACGGCATGTACAAACTGGACAATTTTGTAATTAAGAAGATTTGTAACCAGGTGAGAAGGCCGGGTCACCTGACCATCTGACCTGACCACCAACCGTTGTGTGCTATTTAAAGATTAGTAGGGTCATTACCTAATACCTGACCATTGTGGACCTGGTCTCACCCTCCTCTGTATATATACACCTTGGTTTGTATTTCTCTCTCTAGTCTGTACTCACCCCTGAAGATGTGAATTACACGAAAGCGCTTGGGAACTTCGTGTTTTCTTCTTTCCTGGTGGTTATCAGCATATACATACATACATACCAAATGACAGGGGTGAAGAAGGTTCAGTTGAAGGACAACATGTGGATGGAAGTGAATAGGAGTAGAAATACTGTAGGTGCCGTGGCTTAACACCGCATGCCTGATTGTTACAGGATCGTAGTTCAGACTCCCAGCATCATGACCGACGTGCAAGATTCGCACTGCCGCAGCTCAACCCAGAACCCCGGTAGGCACCTCCCAGTGGAAAAGGAAGTAGTAGGTTAGTAGTAAGGTTGTTTGGTGACAGATGAAGGTACAGTCTTTGAGGTTATGCCAATGATGGAACGGAGCTAGTTGGAGAGGAAGAGATTTGAATATCTGATTTTAAAATGTCAGAGTATTCGTCGCATTGAAGATGAGGGTATCGTCGTAGAGTTTTTGAGAAGAAACTTAGGAGTAGTTCTCTGATTTGCTTAGGAATAATCGAACCTCGAATAAGTTCATTGCTTTCGATATTGCTGTTGCATCGTCAAAGTTTAAGTGGAGTGGTGGGAGGTGAATATCTGAACTCAGAGCGGCTTGATTGTGTAGTCCTCTTCACTAGTGCGTTTACAGAGGGTATCCAGGTTGTGTGCAGTGTGGCAGCCCTGTGTTTATTTACATTCGACAGAAGGAACTCGTAATAGTCAAACATAATATGGAATCAAAGTAAAACATCATCAAAGCAAATATCTCAATGTAATGATTTGTAAACGCACTAGTGAAGGGGGCTGTACCTGGACTGTCCTCAGGCCACCCACGGTGCAGATTGAGGAGTGTTATTGTTGTTTGAGTGTTTTAGTATTGAGGGGTTTCTATTTCTGTATATGCGGTGTGAAGTATGATGCCGTCAAAGTATTCCTGCCATTGTGGGTGTGTGGTTAGGAGTTTTTCTATCTGTCTTTCACCTAATAGTCTCCAGTAGATGTTGAGAGGTGGACTGTTGCTCTGTTCATATAGGTGTTCGTTTGTGATGAATTGTCCAGTGTGTGTTGTGCTTGAACTTTAGTGCTTTATTTTATATGACTTGTAGTTCTTGATGTTGGTTGGTGATGCTAACTGGAGTGCGTTGGGTGCGTATGTCAACAGGGGGTGTATTAGTGCTTTGTATAAGTGTGTTTTGCTTTCTGTTGTTGCACTTCTCAATCACTGTTTGCCTGTGAGTGCCTTTTGGCGATGTTGTCTCATGGTGAGGGTGTGGTCGAATGCTACCCCTAGTATTCTTTTTGTCTGTTTTATTGGTATGGGTGTTGGATTGTTGTCGTATGGGTTTAGGAATATCTGGCGAGGTTGGTGTCTTTTTGTGCCAAATTGTGATTTGTGATATGTTGGAGTTTTCTCAAGGTCAACTGTAGTAGTAACTGCAAGTGAACAGGATCTTATATGGACCTGCATCCTGGGAAATTCGCGGGGTTTTAACGTTGGATTTCATTTACTCGATGTTGATTGACTGACAGTGACGCCTTCTCCCTCAAAAACGGCAGACATGGGGTAATCGTAATTTGTAATCGGAGTCGATTACAATCGATTACAGATTTCAAAGTAATCGTAATCAATTACATTCTTATTTTTGGGCAAAGTAATCGTAATCGATTAAATTCAAAATGTAATCGTAATCACGATCACTTTCACGATTACAAAAGCAAGAACATACTGGTACTTCATTTCCTTTACTTACAATACTAAACTCATGATTCTGGGAACAAAACAAAGCATCCATGTCTGTCCCCTCCAAGCTCGCAATGAATTACCTTGTGGTACGTACCAGCAACTTCAGCACCTGTTGAGAGAATATTCGGTGTTGCTGGCTGAATCTTCAGGCCGGATAGGTGCAAGACGTCATCTGGCCGGTTGGGGGGTCATGGGTGGGACCTCAGTTACCATCTTTTTTTTTTCTTTTTTGTCGGGATTAGCCCACCTGGGCACAGGTCACTACAAGACAGACATGTTTATGATTAAGTAAACTCACATGTATCTTAACAAGTCAAAACGAATTATAAGGAACAGAATTCCTAATCAAAAAGCAATTCACAAACTGGCCATAGCCATGTGGATCATAATGTATAACAGTGTCATGCACGAGGCTAAGTGCATCTAGAGATACTCGTATAGTCTTTTACAATCTTGGCACAAGACAGGGAACGCACAAGACAGGGAACGCATCATTCCATAATATCAAAATGTTAAGTCAGTGACAGGCGTTTTAATTTGCAAGTGTCTTGACTAAGTATGCCAGGTGCCTGTGACCATAGTAGTTTCTGGTAGGTGATGATGTGGTGGAGTTATCCTGTAGGACACTCGTTGATAAACCTGAGGTAGAGGAAATCTGTTAAGTGTACTCTCTCAAATTTATGAAATCAATAATCCTTAAAACTTCTATGTAAATTTTGTTTATTCAGGGTGACAATGCCGCCATTTGGGGAACTGTGGCGTCAATTCTTCGCGGGTTCAGACTCAGAGGTGTACAAGAAATTGGCCAGGATGATGATGATAGGACCATCCACCAGGGAGGGACTACAGATGGCCATTGAACAGAAGTAAGATTAAATTTAATGTAAATATTTTAATACCTAGTAAATTTGTGAAATATGTGGGTGTACTTCAGAGCATGTGAACATGTATGTGGGTGAAGAGGTACATCGTAGCTGCAGGGTCATAACAAACTTCCTTATTATAAAAGTCTTCTTTCAGGTCATTGTACTTGTACATACTGTAGGCCTGTGTTAGAGAGTAATACTAACACGATTTATTGATTTCAAAGGTGTTGCGGATTAAAATATTACATCCACATAGTGTTTTGTTCCGTAACAATAATTTTCAGATAGAGCAATCATAATTGTTTCCTTTAGTTTTCTTGATAATACTAATATAATCTGCCACAGTACAGCAAACATGGCAGCTCGACGGTACCTGTCAAATATGATCGTGGAACACTTCACCGAGGCAGATGGCACCACCCGCCTCTACCTGGCCAGGGAGACTCTCTTTCCAGGACAATCTGCTTGGCCCATCCCTCATGACGCCCCCTACCAATCCCAGCTCGACCGCTGCCTCATAGCCATTATTGAAGTAAGTTGTAGGGAGCGATGCTGTCGGGGTAATAGTTCTTTATTGTCTACGGGTCGTTAATGAGTGACCTACGAGATATTTCCTCTATACCTACCACGGTCAGAAGGCTTAACATGTTCTAAAGGTATGCTTCACTCTCCAATGGATTAACTCTACTACATAACAACAATTGAAGCAAGGTTTCCAACTCATAGCACTGTGGTTACTTCTAGAGTCATCGACGAATTCAAGTCCATCAGGTTGAAACATTAAAGTTCACCTTCATCTTGCTCAGTTTGGTGATAAATATGAAATATACATCAACCCTGACACACACATACGCTAGCCACTGTCTTCATGAGTTTTACATCTCTTGTAGTGAATCATCCTTGAAGGGATTAGTGTTAATCTACAATACAGTTCGTTAATCCGTATAATTGTAAGACGTATACTAACTTAACCACAGTAATTATTCCCTCTTGTCTGTAGTGATGAAGTTAATTAACTTTGAAAAGACTTTTGGATATTATCGTGTCTTAAGCCTCGTACACACTGAGATACATTGCTGTTCAACTGTTTCTAGACAATGTATCTTGGTGTGTACGAGGCCTTAGTTTATCGCGCAACAATCTGTATTTACCCTGCATGATGTTCATTGGTGGAAATCTGATAGGGAGTTAGTTTGTGAACATGTAATCATTCAAAAATAGTTGTCCTGATTCATATCTAATGACAATAACCAACAAAGAGGTACAGTCAGGGAAAAGTGCTTCTATACGCCCCTGTGGTATCCCCAGTCAAGTTACGTATCATGCATGAATCCATGTCCACAAGCGACTGCAAAGGATGACTCGATTCTTAATTTCTTTGTCTGCATTGATATAGATCAAAGACGTTCGATAATTTCTACATATTTCATTCCATTTGCTAATTTAAAAACTATGAATCATGTAGAAACTTGGGCAAGCACACTGGCACCACACATATATCTACCTGACGAAAGAACAGTAATAATTCATAAAACGTTTGCCAAACTTCGATTTTCATGTTTCGCATTAGCTGATCGTCACTTGTTAGTGAAAAAAGTCGCATTTGCTTAGACAGTAAGATTGGTGTTAGAAAAATGGAAGCGAGAGAAAATTAAGTGAAAAAAAAAATATAGGACAGTGTGAAGCTCAGGAATGTAGCAAATCAATAACACAGGAGCCCCCGCGTGAATGTTACTTAGAACATGATATATATCTAAAAGCATGCCACTCCATGTTATAGACAGGCTTCTACCTCCAGGCTGGCCTGTATGAAAAGTGGAGTGATGACACTGTAAGTCAAACCCGCCGGAGAAGCCAGCGGCGTCAGCGCGAGTACTTGGCACAGCAGCTGCAGCAGGGACAGCAGGTGGTAGACGAGACCGCAGAGTCTGACAAGAGCATTATAGCCCTTACCGTCACACACATGCAGGGACCCCTCGTGTTTATCCTTCTGGGACTTTTCCTTGCTGGGGTTGTTTTCGCTGTCGAGGTATCTATGACGTATAACAAGTAGTTCTCCGGGACTCTGACCTACAAACTTTTTTGGGACAATCAAGCCACAGATCCTTCCTAAAACTCCCAATTCCACGGATTTCCTCACAATTGTGTAAATTCTTTTTACTCGCCAACAAACTAACCGAGATTCCCATACAGCATTTTTCCTACATTTATAAAAGTTTTAATATATAAGTGGTTGTAACCAGATGGAATAAACACCCAAGCAAGCCTTCATCACACACGTAGAGTGAAAGCTAATAATGCCAAGAAGAAGCTTTTTTGTTATACCAGTGTGAGGGACCTGTGTTCGTAGAACTGTCACAATCACTGACACCATACTGTATTACCTCTCGGTGTTAGTAGTACTGTACGTGTATTTCCAGTACTTGTACGTATGGTGTACATAATTGTGTCTTAATATTAAATAATGGCAGTGAAACAAGTCGCTGTTTGACTGGCAACACGTAATTATTACCACTATTTTCTTATTATTCATTGTTGTCATGCTTTCGTTCACTAAAAATTATGTTTATAACATTAATACTTCTGTAATTAATAAACGTCTGCTGACAGGCAACCCGAGGGGTTTTTATTTCCAGTTCTCTTGTGTCGCTAAACTTTCTTCCAGCATGAGAAATTTATTATTAAACATTTAAATTACTCTTGAGGGAAGTTATTCCATCTACCCTCGATGTATCGTTTCCTTAATTCGGGATCTCACTGACAGGAGCCACTACAATAGCCTGCTCACATGTGCATACATTTTTTTCTTCACACATTTACCACACCACGACTAAATATATTCACGTTTGTATACATCTTCTAAAGATTGTCAATCTCTACAAAAGATTCTCAAAAGATGACTTGTTCTGTAACTAAAATAACTGCAAACTGTTAATCAAGAAACATAGTTCATTACCTAACAAAAACTTCTTATTCCCTAAATAAATGCTTACATACATTTTCTCTAACAAGTAAACAAAAATGTTACTGGTTTTTAAGATGTCAAATACATATTCTGCGATGCTGATGAAATAGACAAAAACATCTGTAGTGGATCATAAATCTTCTTAATAAACTTGAATATGTATTTCAAAATAATGTAACAGTTTAAATACTATTACCATTATTATAAAAGAACAAAATGTATCTCCATCTTTAACCAATCTGTTGATGCATTACTAAAGCTATCCATAACATGACTGGTAAATGTTATCATGATAAGCATTATTATCGTTGAGCGCTCCTCCCCCAAGAAACTCAACTTCTTGTCCTGAGGAAGTTTTTCGATTCCTCATAGATCAAGGGGGTGACGAATAACGTCCGCAGACCGGTGAGTAGTAGCCTTATGGTCAACTTCTCCGAAAGGGGACAGGCCAGGCAAGTGTGGGACGTCATGTCATCAACAACCCCCCCAATCGAGGTAGAAATTAACGAAGACGAAAACTTGGTGATGGGAGTGATCTCCCATGCCGAAATAGAACACTTGGACCAAGACGAGCTTGACCAACTGATCGGTGAACAGCTCCACGTCATAAGGAAGCTGACCAACCAAGAGGCCCTGGTCGACTACCGGAAGACACTACCAGAAGAAGTATAACTGGGGTGGAAGACCATCCCATTTAAGTTATACCCACACGATATTACAAATGCCAACGCTATGGACATACTGCAAAAAAATGCCGGGTTCGAGAGGTCTGCGCCACGTGCAGGATCACCGGGCACCAGCATACCACGTGCTTGGCTACACACAGGAAAAGCCCAGCTTGTGGCGGCCCTCACTCCTCCGACCGGGAGTGTCCTAAGTGGAGGGAGGAGTGTAGCGTAGCTAAGGTGCGAAAAAAGAAACAACTGAGCTACAAGGAGGCTCTCCTTGTAGTGAAGAAAGAAGAAACTAGAACAAAACAAGACAAAAGAACCAGGAAAAGAAAATTTTGAGAAAAAACAACAAAGACCAGATACTGTATATTGACAGTAAGAAATTCAGAGTTTATCGACCCTACAAATCTTCACCAAACCTAGATGACCAGGAAGAAGAAAAGGATATTATAATACAGAAAAGACAAAAGATTAACAAAAGGAAGAGGTCAAAAGAACAAGACTACGGCCGTAATGACCATCGATGTTGACGGACAGTAAATTACAAAGAAAAAAAGACTCGCCAAGCTCCGTCATCATAACCATTTACACATCTTCCTTGACAACCTCTTGTCAACTTCAGCCAGCCAAGATTGGTGGGAAGCCTTAGCTGAAAAATTGTCTTGAAGGAGATCGGGGGCTAATAACTGGAGCAACGGTAGAAAAAATAGTCACGATATTGGATTTACTAAAAAAATCGTGTCCCCCCAACCTTACCAAGCTCACCAGAATCACAGTTCCATTGTGAGGCAGACATAGTTATAATTAATATTCTAACCAATAGCTTACAAATCAAAACGAACTCGTAAATTGGACATAACCATGTGGATCATAATTTATAACTGAGCAACATGCACGAGGGCAAGTGCATCAGGAGATACTCGTACAGTCTTTCAGAATCTCCACATTGGGCAGAGAATGCATCACTCTAAGATATCAATGTTAAATCAGTGAAAGACTTTATACTGTGCAAGTCGGTAGATAAGTATAACTTGTGCCTTTAACCATGGCAGTCTCTGGTAGGTATGGTTCTGGTGCCGTTATCGCGTAGGTCACTCATTGATAACCCTAAGGTGGTGATTTAGTTAACTGTTTTCTTTCTTTAATTTGTGAAAACTTTAATTCTTAAGATTTATTTCTGTTTATCATTCAACTCGGGGTGACAAGGCCGCCGTTCCGAGAGCTCTTTTGTAAATTTTTGCGGCCCCCTACTCGGAGGAGTACAAGAAATTGGCCAGAATGAAGATAGGGCCATCCAGCAAGGAGGGGCTACAGGTGGCCTAATTATTAATAATAGAACAAGTTATCGTCCTCCCAATGCCTTCATTGCTTTAGAAAAATAAGCGACGGTGAATGAGAGGAAACAAAAGACAGAGAGCAATATTAAATTGAGAAAAAGAAAAAGCCAACCTCCTTAGAGCGAGTGTAAGAGCAGGCAAATCTGAAGGTCGAAGCTCTCAACAAAACAATCCTAGATTTTTTTAGAGGATTCACCCCCCCCCCTCAAAAAAAAATAAAAAAAAATAAATAAATAAAAGAAATAGGGTTATCTTAGAGCTCCACTATCATGTTGAGCAAAAAATAAATAAAAATCTATTAATTGATGTCGAAACAATTAATATAATGATTTATCAATTTTATCGATGAATGGATTACGCTGAAATCAGCTAATCACTCAGAAGTATGGACGTGTATTACAGTATGTGATCATGTTATTTTTACAGACTGATGATAACAACGTACTTTCTACTTCATATCTATAAATGTTAACTTTACTTTTTTTGACGATAGAGATGCCCTGCCACAGTACAGTAGACATGGCAGATCGACGGTACCTATCAAATATGATCTTGGAACACTTCACTGAGGCAGATGGCACCACCCGCCCCTACCTGGCCAGGGAGACTTTCTTCCTAGGAGAATCTGATTGGCCCATTCCAGCTCGACAGCTGCCTCATGGCCATTATTGAAGTAAGTTGTAGGGAACGATCGTTTCCATGATTTTTCTTCTAAAAGTCGTGAATGCGAAACTTGTAAAATGACTTCTCCTTAATGCCACCTACCATGGGAGGAAGGCATGCTACACAGTCTAATCATATGGATTATCGCAAAATATTTAATAAGCGCTCACCGCCCAGTGAACAATAATTTAACAATGTTTCAAACTCATTGCTCTGTTATTAGCCAACGACGATTCAGGTCCACTGGGTTGAAACACCAATGTCCTGATCCACTTGGCAACGAATGAAACTCACATCCACCCTGACACACTCTTGCTGCACATCACTCTGGCTGCGGCCTCTATAATAGTTCTACGGCTCTTGTAGCGGATCACCCTTGGAAGGATAAGTGTTAATCTAAACATTGCTTCCTATAATTGTTTGATGTCTTTTATAGACTAATCCAGAGTCCTTTTTGCTTCTTTGTAGTCTTGAAGTGAACTGTGTTTAGTAAAACAACTTTATGTTGTGTTAAGACGCAACATTTTTAGTCTGCACGATGTCAGATAGTGAGATGATGTGTGAAACAGATTTGTGCTATTGGAGGCCTGTCTTCCTTAAATGACTTCATTAGATCAGGCAAAGAGAGACATCCGTTTCATATATAATGGCAATAATAAAAATAAAAGTACCTGTTACATTTTCAATGTCTTTGTCTGAAATGTTTAAGTTTCAAGACGTTGTATATATTTCCGTCGTTTTTTTGTTATTTAGAAACATAGATTCAATCATACATTAGAACAAGCACACTGACACCACACATACATCTAACTTACAAACGACCAGCAATAATACTTAAAACATTTACCAAACTACTATATGCAGAGTTCGTATCCGCATGAGCTGGCCCTCGCTTGTAATTTGGCCCCAATTTGGTTCAAACAGTAAGAGAGAATTTAAATTGGGAATACTAACTACGTAAGACAGAGGGAAGTTGAGAATGTGCCTAATCACTAACATATGAGCCACCAGGTAAATGTTACACAGAACTGGATAAAACAAAAAAACATGCCAGTCCTTGTTACACACAGTTTTCTCCCTCCAGGCTTGCCTGTAAAAAAATGGAGTGATGACGGCGACTCAAACCTTCAGGGTTATTATTGTGTCAGAGCTTGTAACCACGGACACAAGGATTGCATATCATTTACGCTAAAGTTGATCAGTAATGCTACTTGATGGTATACCACAGTATACCACACAAGTGCAGTGTACGCGCAAACCCACCCACCCCAGCACTGCTCAGCCAATGACCTACACATCTGCATTCGTGTAACCAATCACTTGCAAGCAAGAATTCACCTATCGGCTTTTTTCAGGTTTCCTCGCTGTGCATGGTTGCATGTTAGCGATAATGTATTGGTTAAATATACAGACATCCCAGCAGCTGACACACTTCTCTCAGTTCGGTGCATAGAAGACAGACGTCTCCAGCATCCAACTTGTATCTGTGTCTTCCTCCTCTACCCAGTATCATAAGAAGGTAAGTACATTAACCTTAACTTTATTCCCACTTAAGACCATAACGTAAGATTTCGAGTATTCGTGTAAATATAATTTTTTTTTCAAAGTTGGCAGCGGTACAATAATTGGATGAATATGATAATTACTTGTAATATACATATTTATAACAAATAGTAATTACTTAAATTTGTATTTATTTTCCTCAACAAGTGCCAAGACTGCAGGCAATAGTTTACTGTACTGAACTATATTGTTCTACATATAACAATGTTAAGAGGCATCAGTAACTCTGAAAGTGGTGTTACTGTGAGGGCAGTAGGTACTACGTATAGAGAGTAGAAAGCATTATATCACCAAAGTCTCACATAAGCTGAGATACTAAAGATGACGAGGAAATGACGAGGTTCGTAATATTAACAATAATACAAAGTTGTTTACTACAATAACACGTACAATTTGTTAGGCTGCGGGTGTCAGAGGATATGACGATGGAGATGATCTCCACAAAAGAAAAAATAGAACAATATGTGAAAAAGTAAATGAAAAACTTGAATTGAAATTACGATATATGGTTAAATGACTCTGAAAGTGGCAGTGTTGCACACACAGCTAGACAACAGAGCTTGAGCTTATATGACCTGGTGTGTTGATGCTTAAATACTGTATACTTCGTTAGACTCCTTAATCCTCATAAATTCTTTACAGATCTCCAGTAAGGAAGAAAAGTCAACGAGGATGAGAGGAGTGACGGTGGTCTTGGTTATCTTGATCGCTGATATTGTGGAATGTCTCCGTCCACAGTACGGTAAGTCTCACTTCAGTCCGACTACCACTCAACCACAGTTGCTAAAAGTACAGTGTTGTGAATACAGGAATAAGGTAAGGAGGTTGTACTGGGTGTATCCTTAACACTGTCAGTCATTAGTTTCAGTCTCACTTCTGCAATGACTTACTGAATTATACAGGGTGAGTCAGCATAGACTACATTAAATTGGAGGATCGAATCCTTGGATAATTCTAAACCACAATGTCTCTATGGTAAAATGTCAGGTTCTGCACATGCCAAGGTGTTCGTGACAGGTGGGCATAGTGCAGGCATTCTGGAACGCGTCAGACAATCAATGGTACTACATGTACAGGCCTGCATTGAGGCAGAAGTGGGCAACTTCGAAAATTTTCTTTAGGTTGTAACAGAGGCGTCACACTGTAGAGATCTGTGAATAAATTATTACAAAAACCTACGGGAGTTTCACTTCAAATTCACTCATTAATACAACATCTGAAAAGTATTGTAACATGGAAACTATGCAGAATCTGGCATTTTACCATAGAGACATTGTGGTTTAGCATTATCCAAGGATTCGATCCTCCAATTTAATGTTCTCTTTGCACAATCACCCTGTATATTATGCATCAAGAGCTGGAAACGCATCATTTGTTTGTGACACAAATGTTCAAATTTCTCCAACCCAACGTACGCATTGAAAAACATTAATTACATTTGCGGTCGAACACTCAATATCCTTATTTTCTTAACGAACAGTTACATCAAGATAGTTGGTGGCAGGAAATTCACTGATTGCTTAGTTTGACTTACATGCTCACATATTAAAGTATGCTAATAAAAAAAATAATATGCCCACTTCTATGTTATTCACGTCATCTGTAATTCGAAAAGGACTGAATGCTGATTATATAAACAGGTTGGCAACCAAACGCAGGTGGTGGTGTGGACGCCGTGCTGGAGGCGGTGTCTCAGCCCACTTGCTCTCTCATCCTCCTTACAGATGTCACCACATCAGCCTCCACCATCCTCAAGGTGATGTTTGTTATTATGTAGCCTCCACCTGCTGTATGTTCTTATGTAGTCTCCACCTGCTGTATGTTCTTATGTAGCCTCCACCTGCTGTATGTTCTTATGCAGCCTCCACCTCCCGTATGTTCTTTATGTAGCCTCCACCTGCTGTATGTTTCCTATTAAGCCTCCACCTATTTTCAGGTCTTCCACTTATTTTAATATATAGTCTTACGTATGTAATAAATAATGGTTCAATAGTTGGTGTCAGAATTGTCTTTTCAGAATAGTTCGACATAACTTGCTTTATACTTCTCATCAAATGAACAAAATATTTAGTGTATAATTCAACCCATTTTATATACATGTATTACACACTCCCCACCACTATCTGTTCTTTCAAACTTTTCGCGAAATATTTTCAAAATATTTAAATAGTTTGCGGTATCAGCGTGGCTCATTTGGGAATTTTACTTCCATTCCGTTTTCATTCAGAGGTTCAACTGTTATAATTATATCTTGTTGGTTGGAGACCGAGTTATTGCGGTAAATGGCTGATCTGTCATGAGAGCCCATTGCCCTCTGCAACATAAGTTATTTCAATGAATATGTAACGTAAGACTCATTACCTCTGCAGAATTATTTAATTTTCAAGAACATTGTCACAATTTATTTTGCTATATGAGTATTCTTACCTACAAGATACTATTGTTGAATTACTCGAGATGAATTTTGTTAACGTTTTTTCATGGAGTCTGGCGTCATATTGTAGAGTACGATGTTGTATTTTGATCTCTACAGTTTTGTAAGTGAAGTCGAGGAGCAGCCATTTCATTTTGCTATCCATTATATGTTTTTTTTTCACTTTGCCGAGATAAATTGGAGTGATAAATCTAAAAGTGTCCTTCTATACCGTTACTTTATGATAAATTTACCTTCCTACTTCATTTACCTCAGCTAGAAGTCCTTGCATTGCTAGAGATAGGTAGTTGTGGCAGCCGCCAGCTGGGCTGTGATACTTCATCTATCTTCTAAATAATAATAAAAGGACTTGTCTTTCCTCGAGTGTGTCGGTTCCTGCCATAGCTCCAAATGGAGTCAGTTAGAGACCTGAAACATTACACACATACTACAGGGGTCTCGGGTGGTCCGGGTAAGAACAAAAAATCTTCCCCGACTGAGATATAGCCGCAGTGATTGTTGGAGGTGGTTACCCGTGTCAGAAAGAGCAAATTGTGACTGTCAAAGTTATGCAGTTTATATATATATATATATATATATAACCTATACGAAGCGGGATAATTTCCTAGTTATTGTATAAAACGTCCTGGTGAACAGTTGACGTACTGGATTGATGTCATAAATGTTGTTCTGTTGGCTAAGATTAATGCAGATAATCTTTCTTACTGTAGTTAGTAGTGTTAATATAGTCCAATGTTTCGTATGAATATTACCAAGTCTTAAAGTATTATCTTAGACCATAACTATCGAACCTAACTTGGCTTTCCATTCATTTTCACTAGAAAGCCTGTGAGAAAATTGATCTTTAAGACACCAGACATGAACCAATCTGTTGGACACTACAACTGCATCCATTCCATACGACCACGTACTGAATGCTATAAGAACAGCCCAAAGCCCCATTATAAAAATTATCAACAATTCGTAGCTACTCAGTGTGTTCATCCCCTGTCAATCTTAGCTAGTATTGTTACTATGTTGTAATTCCTGTTAAATGACCTTCTCCTACCTTGTTATTATACATCATATTTTGCACCACTTTTGTTACTTGTATATTTGTTTTCAATCAATTTACCTATTTTCCCAAATCTGTTACTTTCATTATCATTATTATTATTATTATTATTATTATTATTATTATTATTATTATTATTATTATTATTATTATTATTATTATTATTAATATTAATATTAATATTAATATTATTATTATTATTATTATTTTTATTATTATTTTTTTATTTATAAACGACCCGGTTTCGTTTCCCCTTTATTTTTCGTGGGATGGAGTGCTTTTTTTCTCTTCTCTAAGAGAAGGAAGACGTGCGCCTCTTAGAACATGTGCAGCAGCAGCCATGAGCGGCCGACGGCCATTCGTGTCTACGGACGGCAGGCAAGAGAGAGAGAGAGCCTGCAATTATTTGCGAAGAGTCAGTCAGTTGCGACTTGACAATTGTCGTCGTCGGTCGTCGGGACGGGACACACACGGTGCCGGGCTTTGATTTGTAGTAGTTGAATGAGGGTGCGCCAAGTCCTTAGACCTGCTGGCGAGAGATTTGTTTTATTATAATTATTATTATTATTATTATTATCACTATCACTATTATTATTATTATTATTATTATTATTATTATTATTATTATTATTATTATTATTATTATTGTTATTGTTATTGTTATTGTTATTGTTATTGTTATTGTTATTGTTATTGTTATTGTTATTGTTATTATTATTATTATTATTATTATTATTATTATTATTATCTAAATACAGCAAATTATATATTTTTGAAGCCCCATAATCCGTTCATTTTACTTCACAAAGATAAATCTACAGACTACAGTCATTAACTACTTTAAACCATTCTTGTAGTGGGTTTAGTCTTGAAGGGTTAGAGTTCCTTAGATCGTATGGACATATTTTTGTTAATGAAAAAGGACTTCAAATGGATCGTTAAGTTTTGTTTTACTCGCAGGAGGAGAGTGTAGTAAGAGGGAGCCCCTGGGGTGTGGGGTTTTTTGAAGTGATGATGAACCACCAGGACACTAACCTGACGCTCTCTCTGCTCTCCCACCTGCTCCACCAGGCTCGACAGGTAGGTCATTCTTATACCTGCTCCACCAGGCTCGACAGGTAGGTCATTCTTATACCTGCTCCACTTGGCTTAACAGGTAGGTCACTCTTCTAGCTGTTCCACCAGGCTCGACAGGTAGGTCATTCTTCCACCTGTTCCACATGATGTCATAGCAAGTCAACCTTACTAATTGACGTAGGTATTGTTAAATCCCTTAATATCAGCTTAGCGTGGCACATACCAGAGTTAACACAGAGTTTTGTGTTTAACTGCATTATATTATTTAGAGGGATCATATTTTCCCATACTCTGGAAAGTTGTTGTATTTTAAAGACGTCCAGGAATAAAGCGAGACATAGTGATTAGTGTGAACTTCATAGTGGTGGATCTGTTAGTACCAGGGATACTAGTCTGATGTGGCATCATCTTGTAGCATATATCACCCAAAAGGTTGGGGCTTATATCAATAATCGTTTGTCAGTAGAAATTTGGTGTTACACAATGACATGGTTCAGGTTATAAAGACCCGGCATGTGGTAACAAAAACAAACAGAAGTCGTGTATAGATAACTTATTTCTTATGCTTACTTCTGGATTGCAATTTCAACTCTTATGGAAATGTATATAAAAAAATGGAGTTATCAAACCCCGATATAGTAAATTTCAAGTAACTTTGACAATAGCTAAGAGGATTTTAGTAGGCCATTAAATAGGCATTATGGCCTCAATATCTGATGGTTATTCGTCTTCCAAACATTAATCGAACATTTCCTGCTGGATATCATACACATAACAATCAGGCATTTATATATTTCCATGTCGTTAATAATTGACGACTTATGTTTTCCGCGCCGACTGGCAAATCCAAATACTTGCTGAGGAGTAGCAACGTATGGCCATGGTCGCGTCATAAGTGGACAGGATTAACTAATTGTACTAATTGACGACTTGTGTAATGTATAAAGAATGATCTATGTTATTTGTGTGTCCAACTTATATTATATAATTCATCAATTAAGTATCAATTGGACATTATGTTCATGTTTCTGTGTAATAATAGGAAGCTCTTCAGAGGCCATGTTATCTTGGTCTTGAGGTGTATAATATACTTCAAAATGCCGCTTGTGAAGCACTACTCCATTTACCTTCTTTATACAATATTTCACTACGGATGATTATTCCTTCACTTGGGCACCCATACAGCCCACTACAGTCAAGCAGCTATGACCATAGGTTAAGTATTACTTTCTTACAAAACTTGGCCGTGATGACAAGTCTGCCTGTCTACAGGAAGATGTCTGACTTCCTAATATTTACTGAAATAAAATATCAACTCTGTCCCAAAACTTCTGGTTCTTCATGCGACTACAAGTTGTCTTCATAATATATGTATGATAGTTCTTGAAACTGTTGCCTCAACTTTTAGAACTATCAATTAAAGTTGAGGTATAAATTATTGTTACATTAGAATATAAAATTATTATACTCTCCAACTTTTTTCTATTAGCATGCTTTTGTCCGTATTTGACTAAGAACTTTATTTTCATAACATTCAATCAAATAAGATTTTGTAATATAATGATGCATTTCAGTATTTTATATTGTGTTTATTTTCACAACAGCGCTTCTCATTTTAATGAAGATTGTAACCAAAAATATAATGTGATATCTTGACATTTATACCTAAAGTCTAACCAAAGTTTGAGGTGGCCATACGTTTATCAAAAGGTGTCAGAATGTTTCGCTCGAATTTTGCACAGATACTTTTTTGATCGTGTATACAAGTACACAAAACACCTATGGCCAAGTTGTCATTAAAGTTATAAAATGCACAATAATTTATACAGTGTACAAATTATATACACTGCTAAACAAGGTTATTTTTTCATGGTTCTGGATGTTGAATGGCGTCATTGACAATTAAATACTTCACATGTTTTGAAGAATTTTGTTTTGCATCACCACTTCTTCCATTTTAAGGTAAACTGATAGAATATAATGCTTAAGACAGTGACTATTTTTAGCCCACATTTTACAGCTAATGTGTTTGACGTCGCTTAACTTATTAAAATTCCATTTGTATTTGTAACCATGACGTAGGGTGATTGTTTATTTGTTTGTTGCTCCCTACTTGTGGCTCTCCCTATACACTACAGAATGAGAGACTATGGATTCATTTGTACATTTGCCCACAGGTATAGTGTTCCACCCCTCGGTGGCCTTTCTAAACATGTGGCATCGTCAGAATAACTTTATGAATTAATCGGTAACATAAGGAAAGCAGTTGCCAACAACTGCTCTCCTCACGGTACTGATTCAATCACAAAATGATTCCGACTCTGCCACATGTTTGGAAAGGCCACCGAGGGGTGCACACTCTACCTGTGGGCAACTGTACATATTTCTGAATGTCTCAACCCTTAAAAGACTTGTTTTGATTCTTTAACGATTATAGCCTAATGAGTTCTATTAGAGATGCCGAAATCGCAGTCTATTTCGTTCGTTAGTCCTGTTAGATATCCATATATCTACAGTAGGTACGATATATAACAACTTCAGCTTGTTCTCTTCCTTTATACAAATACATCTATGCCCAGCCTCACATAAAAACATACTGCGGTCTGTAATGAGAGATGAAAGGTGCAAATTTACAATTACATTTTTGTGTTTATACCAGAGACACCAGAGGCTGTAACACAATTTAGAGCTACAATAATTGCTAAAAACTTAGTACGCAAAATGGAGACCCAGTTGTGTTATGCTGGCACCTTTCTCAGTACAGAAGCCATCATCAGATGTCAATCACTACACTTTCCACTCTTACATTAGCTTCAGGGATGCTTTGCTCTTTAATGATGTCATAAATGTGCTCAAGAGTAGTAAACTAGCATTGTGGTAGACAGACATTAAGCCATAGGTTGCAACTACCAACACTGGTGGCCACATTAGTACTGAGACAGTCCAAGTTTATGTCATAAATATATTCTCAATTAATTTTCTTACTGATGTATTTTTGTTGTTTTATAATTTTCGTCAGATAAAGTTACTATAATAATTAAGCAAAAGTACAGTCGCCCACACTTCCACTTGGTTCAGTAAACATTGCCAATACTCTCTCTACGTCACAACAAAACTTATTAAGAAATTAATGATAAGGACAGACCTGTTTGAGTGCATACAACCTGCCATAACTAAAAAAAAAAAAAAAAAAGAGATTAAATGATGATAAAACTTGAATGGACTCCTAACTAAACAAATATGTTTACATTTGCAAGTATTTTTCACCTACGAACTGATAATGTCATAAGGACTGGACAACAGTCATATACTGTATCTTGAAGTTTCTTCTCGCGACCTTTATGATATACTCACACTACATAATTTAATACCAAGTCATTTTGTCAATCATCGCATAATCTGTTAGACCTAGTTATGACGAATCCTTGTCACATGTGTAGGTAGTAGTGAACTCATTACTCGGTCTTGTCACAGGTGAGGATGGAGTCTCGGTGTGTGCGGGTGGTGGTGGCGAGTCACGACCCGGTCTTCCTCGACACCTTCGCCGAGTGGTCCCTCAAGGGCCGCCTCCTAGTGTGGGCCACCAAGCTGCTGGTGGTCACCAGCCTCCCACTCCCGCAGCTCCACGCCCTCCTGTCCTCCCACTGGACCTTCTCCATGATGAACACCATCTTGCTCAACCTGGAGGACACACCACCCAACCTCAGGTAATATACACAATGAACACCATCTTGTTCAACCTGGAGGACACACCACCCAACCTCAGGTAATATACACAATGAACACCATTTTGTTCAACCTGGAGGACACACCACCCAACCTCAGGTAATATACACAATGAACAACATCTTGTTCAGCATCGAGTTTAGGTAAACAGAAATGAAAAATAATTATTAAGCAAAATACAATGCAATGTTGATATGCTTCCTTGTGACAACAATTACATGTTATTGTATGTTTCATAAAACATAAAAACGCAATGCATTCTTATTTAAAATCAAATGCTCTTCCTGCACAGGATAAGAAGCATTTCTCATGTCTTTAGTGTTAGAACCCGTAATCCACTTTGAAAGAGCAACCAGGGTCCTGTAAACAGTTTCCCTTCCTCCCGTAAATAGATCTCTTTTACACAAAACGTACTTCCCGAGGTCTTGGGTTATCATATTCGGCAGAATAGGATTCGAATTTTACAGACCTTCGTGCGAGTATCTCACTTGTTACCGACCACAACGTGGGTTCACAGATCCATCCCTTCTTTTTCTGGCCACATCGTCCACCAGTGTGTAATGTCTTCCTCCAAACCAACTCCCTCAGTCTCTTACATTGGCTGAGGATAAAAAACTGGTTCATTTTACACTTGTTATCTCAACTGGAAATTAATCAGTGGCCTGCCACACAGTCCACGTTTTTAGCTAGGTATGTTAGTTTAATTTCCTCATTACAATATTGTGAAGCAACACCTTTCTTTTGGTCTTAATATCATAAAATATATTTTGTTGACGCATATTCTATTATGTCGATATAACAATGCAGACTTTTTTTTACTCTTCCAAGCCTTTTCTAGTTTGATGTAGGATGACCGAAGTCGAAAGCAGCTTTAGACCCCCATCATGACTTTTGAACCGGCTTTAAAAATGGGCTCTCCACCATCCATATCACGGCTTAAAATTTCAGTCTGGTTTTCCCTTTTCGCATTCCTGCCTGTGAAGCATGAGAATGCAATAATAACCAACTGTGCGGGTGTAGCTCGGGAAAAATATCAGTAGTCTGTAGTTGGATGTAAAATAACTCTCCATACAGGCACAGTGTGTATACTCACCTACCGTACAGTCCAGAAGGCGCCCAGGTGTTGCGGGTAGCTGTGTGGACACCAAGACACGGCCTCCGCCTCCTCACAGCCCTGCCACTCTTCCCTGAGAAGTTCTCCAAGTATGTGTGACAGTGATGTGTTTTGTGTAGGATATGGTTGTTGCCGACTTTATTCATGGGCTTATTGTTCTCATCTTCAGTTTCTTCATTAATTTTTCTTGCCTTCAACATAATTCCTGCCATTCATTTAAGAATTTTATATAGAGTTATTTCGTAGTATCTACGATTCTACAGTATTCACAATATATTGTCCTGTTCCTCAGTTTCCATGGTGCTGAGGTGAACGTGACGGGGAAGCCTTGGCCGCCATACTGGGTGGAGGAGCAGCAGGAGGCGGCTGACGGGAGCCTCGTCACCATCTACACAGGCTGTGACTACCTCTCCCTCGAGACTATCTCCCACACCCTCAACTTCACTATTAATATAATTCCTACAGCTTCCTGGGAAGAGGTATAGAAATTTGTGTTCCTAACTCGAGTTCAGGAATTATATACATAAATATTTTCACACGTTGTCCCCGATTTGAAACGGGTATGTGATATGGAGGATCAAAAGTAACCCGAGCAATGCAGATCCCCCTATGAGTGGGAGACGAGGAATAGAATTCGATATATTTTGGTATGTAAAATAATTTTTTATAGTCCATGACCATCTATCTTGGAGAAAGCAATGTATAATACAAGTATAAGTACCTGTACTATATTTTTTGTGAAATGAATCATCAACTGAGAGGATATGTTGGCACTCCGTGTGTAAGTAGAGATTGTTGTGTACCTTGTAACAGAAGTGGCAGTGTGTCTGTATATATTTTAAAGAAGAGCGAGTTATACGAAAAAGTAAAGACATCGTTAGGAAATGTTCTATTGCCGCACACACAAAGATGACAGCAGGTGATTTTCATCTGTTGATTTTAAAAAATATAATGATGATAAAATACATAGTGGTTAGTGGATTAGATCATCTGAGGTGGACTTAAAATGGCTTATAAAAATTAGTTTACAGAGAACACACAAGAACATCGCGTACAACGCTGCGTCAGTGTGTTAGTTTGACACTGATGTATACTGTAGACCTGCCTGCAAATCTAACAAACTGTTTATCATTTAAAGAAAGTAATATAAAATGAATAGACACACTTTATACTGTTCTTATCATCCTTGAGGGGCCAATGTCTCGCATGCTTCCACCCCCTATCTAGTGCTTAGTCTAAGGCGGATGCTGTCAATTTTAAAGTTGTTAATTCATAAAAACTAGGTCGACTTAACTTGTTGGTTACTGAGATGTAGTCCAGTGTGAGATGTCCTTACAAGGTATTATGCACAGGTGATCCAGAAGGTGGACGAGCGAGAGTCATTCATCGCGGCAGTATTCCACTTAGCTCTGAGAGAGCAATATAAGCGGCACGACTTCACTTACATCTTCGAGTTTAATCAAATGTCATTTGCTCTGGCCAAGCCCGGCCTGAAGCCCCGCCTGGAGAGCCTCTACTACCCGCTCACCAACGAAGTGTGGACCGGGGTGTTGGTCGTCTTCCTCCTCATGCCCGCCATTTTTTATGTGGTATGTACTATGTCTTCAGGGTATTAGTTAAATAATGCCAACAATTTACATTCGGCAATATCAATAGTTCCAGTTGGAGAATTGCGAGTGTGTGTATGTAGGGACGTATTGCTGATAACCTTACCTACCTGTCTTCTCCGGAAACTTCTTCATTCATGTTCTCGACTAAAAGAACTTTATCGACATATCTTTTTCCTCTTCTCAATCTTCATTGTTCTTACCATGTTAATTTTATTGTTTTTCCTCCAATTCTCTTAATGATAAGTCTGTCCAAGCGATTTTTTCCTATATAATATTGATATTCATTCTTATATTTCCCCTTTATACGGGAGAACTTTATATGATGTCTACTATACCGTTATTACCTTCCCTCTGCCATACATAGCCTGTACTCTTGTGTCACTAACCTCTTCCCATTCTTAACTGTTCAGCAGTGACCTCCTCAACTCCTGCTGCCTTACTTCCTTAGCTTATATTCGTTTTCATTTATCTAATACCGTAATTTCTAAGTTTGATTTTTTCACACGCGTTCACTAGCATGAATAAAATAATAGCTATTATATAGTAATTCATTAGACTGTCTAACATGTTATATAATGTCGCAGGTCAGCAGAGGAAGAGAGAAGCAGGGTGGACAGCTGCGGGTGGGAGCTGAGGTGCTGGAGGTGATGGGGATCCTGGTAGGCCAGAACCTGCCACAGCAGCTCCCACCTATCACCTCCGGCCGCCTCCTGGTGGTGGCGTGGCTGGTGTTCGCCCTCATCATCGGGACGGTTTACCGTGGCAACCTCACAGCCGCCCTCACGCTGCCCAAGTACCCGCCCCGGCCAGAGACTGTGGAACAGCTGGTGGACACCGTTCATAAGTAGGTATTCCTTACGTGAAAAAAAACACCTTGACAGCAGCTTTTACACTGGTCCTGTTGTCTGTTCTAGATGAGGAAGCACGCCTATAATGCCATCATTAGCTATTGTTGTGCCATGTTTAGTATCTAAGTAATTTTAAGGCGAGTTTACTAATAACATTGTTAATAATATAGTAACCCATCGAGATATACAAATGTTTTGTTTGAATGATAAACCCAGAGAGGGAATGGTCAATTTTACCCTGAAATTTATTACATTTACATATGGATAGCAATATTAATGGACAAATATAGTGGAAAATATAATATTACACACAAAGTACTCCTACTCATACAGTTAAATAAAGGTAATATAACAAGGGTACTTAAACTATCAAACCAGAAGCGAACACGTACCAAATGTTTCGAATTTGATAATCATTGTTTTGGGAGTTGTGGACGAATGGAACACATTACCAAACACCGTGGTTAACTTGAACTTGCTGGGAAGCCTTCAGATATGGCGTGAACAAATGTACGAGCGATAAAGGCTGGGTGTAAATCTGGCTGCCTAGTATAGATCCGCTGCAGTTTCCTTCATTATGGACACAGTACTTATGTTCTTATTCCAACACACTCGATACTACAACACACAGAGTATTCCAACACACACGGTACTGCAACACGCACAGTATTTCAACATACACGGTACTCCAGCACACGCAGTAGTCCAAGACACTTGGTATTCCACCATACGTGGTAATCAATCACACGTAGTACTCTTAACACACAAGGTCCTCCAACACACAAGATACTCCAACACAAACAGTACTCCATCCCACACAATACTCCAACACACACGGCATTCCAACACACACGGCACTCCAAAACACACGTTACTCCAACACATAAGGTATGCCAACACACAAGGTACTCCAACACACAAGGAACTCCAACACACAAGAATCTCCAACACACAAGCATCACCAGCACTCAAGGTACTCCAACACACAAGCTTCTCCAACACATAAGGTACTCCAGCACACACTCACTCCATCACATGATACTGTATCAGCCCCTGTCAAACAGACAGTATTACTTATATAAATGTGTGCTACATACATTATGTAGCCTATGAGCAGTGAATGGTACATATGAGAAGTGTTTTTCCACTGTCCGTCTCACACCTTGACTCCAGAGTCCACAACTAGTAGTCGGCTTGTTCCAGTCAGTATTCCGTCTCTCAGCCACGCTAGAAGTGAATTCACGCAGCTCGTTACACTTACAATTCGTCCGTCATTAACGATCACGGCTCATAACGTTAATTACGGTTATATCCTACTTAATGTGCAATAGTTTATTTTCTTAATAAATGGAGAAAAGACATTTGGGTTTGAAAACTTAACCCATGAACATTTATGAAAGTTACTTCCAGTTTACCTTTAATACTGAATTACAGACTTTTCATCAGTGATTACAACAGGTAACATGAGGTGGCAGCAGTGGGATACATTGTGGTACATCGTTAGTTCCATTGCAGGGAGTGTATCAGCAAAACGGATTGTAGACCACATGGTATCAAGTCGTTGTTCATCCTGTAATTGCGAGAAAGTGAACGAAGATACAGACGTCACTGGTGCTATGTTCCTGGACAAAGCGTCGGTGACCACATTCGCTCGTCCCGGTAAGTACTTGAACACAGGGCCGAATACTTGAATGGTCAGATACCAGCGTGCCAGGCTGCCTGAAAGGTTTTGTACATGGAACAGCTCCGTCACTGCCACATAATCTGTATGGACGGATATGGAATAACAAAAATGAAATCCTTAAAACTTCTTAGGTGTCCAGACACCAGCTAACGTTTCCAGATGCAGTACCGAAGAGCGTGTTTCTGCGTCATGAAGTTTACGCCTGGCGTAAGCAATCACTATGTTTTCCTCGTGTGTCCAGCTGCATGAGGACAGCCCCGAACTCTTGCCCCGAGGCGTCAGTACACAGAGTAAACGGTTTAGTGTAGTAAGGAAATGCCAAAACAGGTGCATTGGTAGGTGTTGTCTTCAATACAATAAAACTAGTTTCCTGTTCACCATTCCACACAAAAGTCGCGTCCTTCCTGAGTAACTTAGTCAATGGCCAAGTTCACGTCGCATATCCTTTTACAAAAGAACAGGTATATCCTGTTAAACCAAGAAAACTACTTGGGAATTGTGTAACGGCTTTGCCCTTGCCGTCAACTGTATGAATGCCATCTCCGTCGACTACATGACCAAGGAATTGTATTCTTGATTTAAAAACTCATATTTAAAAAGTTTAACCTTATGTCACGCTGTTTAAAGCTTCAGGAAAACTTCATGGAGTTTGGCAAGATGACTGTCATCTTTACTGACTACGATGAGATCATCTAAATAGGCACATACTGTGTTGCCTTTTAAATCACCAAACGCGGTGTTAATCATCATTTGAAAAGTCAATGGTGTATTTCAAAGGCCAAAAGGCATACGTACGTCGTACAAGTTCAAAATGGCCCAAAGGAGCACTAAAAGCAGTACTCTCATGAGATTTCTCAAGAGGAATTTGCCAATATCCATTAAGAAGTTCAAGATTACTAAAAACAGCAATATCTTTACCTAAAGATTGCAATAAATCGCTCGGAACAGGCATCAGGTATCTCTCCGGGATAGTCTCTTCGTTGACTCGCCAAAAATCAATGACTGCGCACCAACCTACATCCTTCTTAGGGACTAAAAGCAATGGGCTATTGAAAGGGGACTTTGAATGTGTGATAACTTCTTGTTACAGTTTATCTTGAACCATGTCCTGCACTACAGCTCCCTGACTAAGAGGTAGTCTGTATGCTGGTATGTAAATCAGGTTTGTGTCCGGTTTTAAAGTTATGTGATGTGAAGTAAAACTCGTCTGACCTAGCAGTTCGACAGGTAAAGCTACAATCTTTCTGTAGTCGGCCAGCAACTCAAGGAGCCTAGTCTTCCCTTGAGGGTGATCAATTACTTTAACATGCAGTGCTATTTCATCCATCCTCTCCTGTCTGGTTTGTGTAAGTGTATGTGGTACACTACCAATTAGGAATTTTGTAGGCTGTAAAACAACACTAGTCTGTTAAATCAGATAATCACACAAGCAACATCCCTGCTTCAATATTCTGGAAGCGCCTGTTCTGTTAAGAATAAGGACATCTGCTAAACCAAAGGACGAATCGTACTCAATGTAGATTCACATGAAAGACCTTTAATCCTGGAAGTTTCCGTAAGACAAACTACGTTAGGGAAGCGAACAGTGGCTCTGGTTACTTCCTCATTCTGAAAATAGAGAGTACCTGTTAAGACTACAGATACTACAAATACGCCAGGTAAAGGAGTCGGTAGGGTCTGGGACTCACTGCGACTCGGGATCCATCTTCCTCGCAGTAGGCGAGTTGGTTAAAACATTCACCCTGGCGGTGTGCATTAGAAACAGAATTGTTCATGGCACACAAGGCACTCCAACACACTCGGAAATTATAAATGTCGTGTCATCATGATTACACTCCATTATATTTAATTTGTTTATATTCATAATAATAAGAGAAACATGTAATCTTTATTGTAATAGATTACATTACCCAAGTAATCGTTCCATATCTGCAGGCAGTCCTTACTGGAGTCATTAAATGCCATTATATTAAGGAAACTCAATTTGAGTGAGAATTTTTTGGGCTGGATCCTTTTAACATACTTTCATAAGACTAAATCTTGAGTGATCGGCGTCAAAAATTCAAACAACGGTGGAAATAATAGTCACTATATATTGATTATTTAAAAGTATCGTGTAGTACAAGGGGAATGTCAAGTACAGTAATCCCATCTACTATAGTATTTCCACGCTAATCTGGCCCGTAAGCCACGCCCCTCTTCTATATTAATTGCTGATTTGTTCATAGAAAATTCAATGTAAATGTGTTCACAATTGGTAAGCAGACCTGTTATTATTTAAAATAATGTTAAATATCTGAACTATCAATAAGCAAATGATTTCAAAGCATTAACACTTACAGTCAGGAGAGAGGGAGAGGTAAAACGCTCAGGGAAACCAATCAGCTGTGTGCAGCTATAGACCAGGGGCGTGGCTTACGGGCTAGGTTAGCGTGGAAAGGGTATAGTCACCCTGTACTAGCTGGTGCTCCCACCAGCTGGAACCTTGTAACTTTTGCAATTACTTTGTAGTTTGTTGGATTATCGTTGTAATCTCTGCTTGTAGTTGTTTAGCAGTACTTAAAGTTCACACAAATACTATCTGGCTTTTCTATTTTATGACCAAAATATAACACACTATTGTTATTAATGACAAATCAACCGAGATAATAAACAACTTTCCATTTACAAGAAAATATGTGGGGTATTTTACAGAACTTTAACACGTCTGTCAAGTGTGAATTACAGGACAAGGTCCACTGAGAGCTGGGCACTTGGTGAAGACCTGTGCAAATCAGAGGTATGTGGGGGTCATAGGAATCAAAGTCTAAAGAAACCAAGCCTACCCAAGCGTATAGACGTGTAGTGAATCCCGGGTAAAACTACCCCACTATATTAGAAGATATTCTTACCATCTATCCTGATGTTCTCATCTCTAATGCACTATCTTTCAGATAGCCACTTGAGCTTCTCATATAATAATTATTTATAAGATATTCCTATCCTTATTTTTAAATTATTATTATTATTATTATTATTATTATTATTATTATTATTATTAACAAACATATTTTTCCTCTCTCTATTATTATTTATACTCTTATGATTTGTCTGCCAGTATCAGTGTAAAATCAATTAAGTAATCATTAGCGCATGGGCTATCTATTTACTGGGGGGTGGGGGGCAAAAGGAATACAAGAATGAATTAAAATAAAGAAAATAATAAAAAGAAATAATGATTACAATAATCATCATTCTCTCCCCAAGCTATTACAGTAAATCAGTCGATACAAGTATATATGTGTAGAGGTTTACAGTTTATCAATATGGCCACAAGATATATTACAGATGACAATGCTATACAACAGTTTCAAGCAACACATAGGTACTTGTCTCTCCACATCTGGTTTGCTGGCCGAAAGTTAGACTTTTGAGAATTTAAATTTAAACCTGCCATCGGCTCTCAAGTATTGCCCTTCCTCCTGTTCCACCCTATATATTTGCTGTATGCACAATAAAATCCACTTTTTTTCCCTGTTTTTCATCCTTAGGAAATCGATGGATTCTCAAACTTTTATCTTGTAGTCTGTAATTTGATATGCATCCAAATACGGGACATTTATCAAACACTGTCATAAACCTTTGCACCACGACAGTCAGCTGGTAACTGCAGGAGGTCCCATGCTGGACGGCCGGACCATCCCCTGGGCTGCCGGGCAGATGACGTGATGTACAGAGAAGGAATAATTTTCAACTCGGAAGTGGGTTGACTTGGTATAATTAGATTTTGATAGGAATGTTACCAGCACATTAGAACGAATTGAAAAGCTATGCTTAGTTGTTGTTTATATAGTTAAGGCGAGTTGTGTACATTATATAATTAATACCTTTGAATAGCCTCATATATATAAATACTACTCTATCTGTTGACAGGGTCTATTACAAGACAAGACAAATAAACTCGCCAGTAGCTTACAAATCAAAATTTACTCTAGGGAACAATTCCGATAAAGAAAAAAAGTCAAAACCATATGGATAAAAATGTATAATTGAACTTCATGCACGAGGCCAAATACTGTACATCAGGAGATACTTATACGTATAGTCTTTCAGAGAACCTAAAAATTGTACAGGGAACAAATCCTTCCAAGGTATGACTATGTCAAAAGTCAGGGAAAGGCGTGTAGCAGCACAAGTCTGCAACTAAGTATGCCAGTTGCCTTTAGCTATGGTAGTCTCTGGCAGGTGTTGTTCCCTTTCTCAAATCTGTGAAACTTTAATTCTTACCATTGCTTCTTTGTGTCTTTATATTCAGTGTGACTATGCCGCCATTTGGAGAACGGTTTCGTCAATTCTTCGCGGCTTCAGACTCAGAGGTGTACAAGAAATTGGCCAGGATGATGATGATAGGACCATCCGCCAGGGAGGGACTACAGATGGCCGTTGAACAGAAGTAAGACCTCATTGTCAACACAAAGTTATAGATTTAAAATCACATTTACTTTTCGAAAAGGCTTAGAGAAGAAATGAGAAGCAATAGAAAGAGTGAGAAGTAAATAGCAAGAGTAACCAAACGAAGAAAAGAGAGAGAACAGAAAGCGAGAGTGAGAACAATCAACCACAGGAGAAAAAAATATACTAAAATAGAGCAAGAGGTTTTAGAAAACGGTGAGAGCATAAATTCGTCAAAAAGTTTTGAAACAATATTGGATTTCTCGGAGAGTTTCCTATTAACATAATAATATTAGAATTTCACCATGCTTTTTAACGACCCCAAAAAGTACAAAACTAAATATTTAACTAAGAACTGTGCAGGAATTAATATTGTTACGACCCTCCCTTTCACCACTTACCACTGGTTACCAGAGGCCGGGGTCGTATGTACAGAAGCAGTAGATATCTCACAAGTGTTGTCGAATTACAACTGACTGTCTAGCCATTTTCCCAGCGAGTTCAATTTATTGATGGTGTTTGGTAATTTATTCTATTCATACACAATTCTATTTCTTCTAAAAACATTCCAGTGGTCGCTCCTGGTTGCATACTTAAGTGCCTTAGTTAGATCACCTTTATTTAACCCCTTTTTCCATTTATCAACTTTGATCATATCGCCTCCCTCACTGCTCTCAAGAAAATTAAATTTAGGGTTTTTTTAGTCAGTCTTTATACTCAGGGTTCCTAATGCCCGGCACACAGTTTTAGTACACCCATGCTTGTCCTGTTACTTACGCTCTTAGATATAAACCCTAGTACTTCGTTAGCCTTGTATCGAACAAACACATTTTTTAATTTGTTTTCTGCTTATCATTACCCTTAAATCTGCCTCACAATCCAATTTATCTATATCTGTGTTGTTCAGCTGTTAGCTTGCTCCTGTGTTTCCATTCCACATTAACTTGCATCAATCATTTTTAAGTCCATACTAAAAATTGGTTTAGATCTTCCTGTAATTTTTTTTTAGTCTTCGTCAGATTTAATTATACGTCCTATTTTTGGTGTCGTCAGCAAATATACAATGTTGCTATCAAAGCCTCTATCTATGTCGCTTATGTATAATAAATATACCACGAACAAAATGAAGAGGAAAGATACTGTTTGCTTTCCAAAGGATAAAAATGATGTGGTTCTGGAGGACGATAAGCGGACAACTTAAAGGATTACTTTGCTGCATCAGTGTTAACACGAGCGTGATAGCAATCGCAGATGACATCATCAAGAAAAAGATAACCAGCTGTCACATTAAAACTTAGTCAACAGTCTAAACGTTTCTCAGAACTTCCAAGAAATACGTATTGAAATTTGTATGTACATGTTAACTAGAATTTTTTCTCTTTAACAAATCGGTGTCTTAGTGTGAATTTAAGTATCAGAAGAGTAATAGTAATTCTTAGATATCAGAAAAGGAGTTTACCAGTGGATGTTTTGTGTACCGTATAGAGCTTTCTAAAGTGTTTGACAAAGTTTCACATCTACTGGTAGCCTCTAAGATTCAAGCACATGGCATCACAGACAAAATATTAAAATTAAATTAACATTAGCTCAAAGACAGGCAACAAAACGTGGTCATAAACGGAGTACATTCAAACTGTAAAAAGGGTCTCAGAGGTGTATTACAAGAATCAAATCATGGACCGACCCTGTTTGTAATCTCCATTAACAATATTGGTGAAATATATCGAACCACATAATCAAGTTTGCGGAACACACGAATATATTTAGGAAGGTGGCAAGTCAGGAGATCACAACCATGCAAAAAGATCTGCACAAACCTTTTAAATGGTCGCAGGACTGGCGTATGATTGATAACATAATAAAATAAAAGACTGCACGCGGGACACAGACAGCCCGAGTACAGAAAAATAGGAAAGAGAATTATTCAATTTATGCCAGTCACTGAAAGCAGCATAGAAACTGGGGGCAACAATGAAATAAAAGTCAACTAAACTGTTGGAATCATTGTCGTACCTGCGAATATGAAGATACGAAAATGCTCATTCATCTTTATCTTTAGTACGTCCCCATTTGGACTACTGTATACAAGCTTGCCTAGTAAATATTAAGTGTATAGTGACTAGGATTGTATTTGAACACTGCCTCACTTATTATTTGAAGACTGGAGCTCTTAGGACTGACAACTCATCAGACAAAACTCGACATGGTAGACATCATAGTGAAATTCAAAACCTTGAAAGGGATGAAAAACATAAACCCAGATCAATTTCTCGGGATATCAAATGCCACAAACGCAAGAGGTCACAGCTTCAAGGTCGCCAAGGTGTCCTTCAAATCAAATATAAGAAATATGTACAACTTCACGCTAGAGACGGTAAATTTTAAGAATAGCTTATCAGCTGAAGTACTGTACTTGGCTTCAAAATAAGCCTTGAACAAGACTGTTAAGAAGAACTAGGGATCTTACACAGGCCATCTGCCCCCCCACTTCCCCACCATGGCGGTAGTAGATAGTAGGCAGCTATCAAACAGGGAGGTACTACCGCCTGGGAAGATATTGGAGCATAATGTGTTGTCTATGGTAGACCCTGCTGCCATATGGCATCACGAAAATTTTGACCTAGTCCCGGGCAGCTGATCTGACTTTCTGCCTCATTTACACACAATTACAGGGTCTCAATTGTTTATCTTACTATTGACAA